AACAAGTATTGTACTGGTATGTTGTTTATAGGCCTCTAGAGACAATAATGGAAATTTTGCTTGCATTTCATAGGTATGTTTACTTTTCACAAGCCTAATATTTGATGTCTATGTCAATTTTGGTTGCTTGCAAGTTTTTCTATTATAGATGGCATCTACAGCACAAATAGCTTTCCTAGACACCTGTGGAATGTATTAATATTCTTTCTGAAAGAACTTTGTAATACTATTAGGAAAACATGACCAAAAAAATCCTAGAACAGGTGAGCTAAGAGGATGCTTGAGTGAATGGACACATGGATGGATGGATGGATGGATGGATGGATGGATGGATGGATGGATGGATGGATGAATAGATGGGAAGTCCATTTCTCTGTCTTATTGATTTATAGAAATCCTTTCCAAAGGAATACAATCTTAAAGTAATTTTTCCTCTCTCCCTTTCTGGTTAGGTCATTGGATTATGCCGATGGGTTCTCGGTATCATTACAGTTCCCAGGTTAGGGGAGATCAGCACAAGCTTTTTATGAACTACTTAGAGCAATAACTAGTAATACCTGGTTAAAGACCAAATATAAAAATACTAAAGATTATTTCCAGAGTAGTCAAATGCTGACCCATGAAATATCTAAGGAAATACATTCCAAGAAATTATTTCTCCCAAATCAAGCAAAATCTGTCCTGTTCAGGAAATGAATTATAAATTAATCATTTCTGCATGTCTAAAGTTCAGCTAGGTTTTCTTAAAAAAAGGAATCAATAATACCTATACCCTCCATAGAGTGCAAAAGGGAAAAACAGAGAAATAACCTTTGTCGAATGCTTACCATATATCAAACACTGTTGTACACACTTTTTATATGTAAAGTCTTACTTAATTTTTAAAAAGATCCTATGGGGTCAACATTATCTATCCTATTTTGCAGATGAGGAAACACACTCAGAAAACTTAAGTAACTAGCCAAAACCACTCAATAAATACCTGGCAGAGTAGGTTCAAACTCAATTATACTAATGAAAACAAAGATTAAAGTTATGTATTTTCACTTCTAAAGATGATCTAAGAAACTAAAATGTATTAGCCATTTCCTCTTTCCCCCTAAAAAAAAATTTAATATAAACAAAAATATACCTAAAGTCCTTTGGTGGCCAGATAGCACTCAGCAAGCAGATCTAAGAAGGGCCGTTCATAGCAGCCTGCTTATTTTTAAGTGTTTTTGGGTGGCTGTGAAGAAGAGTCTGCCTAATGCAACTTCATTATGGATAAATAAGCATATCTTCCTGGAGACTCTTGCCATGTACAAATGTGTTGGACAAGCCAGGCTTTTGTTTCCTCATCCTGCATAAAGGAACCCTTCCTACTATCCCCAGGAAGACATTGGAGGGATGGATACGGATGGGTGGGAAACAAGGGAATTGTTTCAATGGTAGTCACTGCAAGAGGTCAAGGCTGGGCTGGCACTGTTCTCAATAAGAGTCATTGTGACTACGTTCTAAAGTCTGAAGTTTTTTTAAATTTATTTCCTTTTATTTTCTGTCACTAG